TCCCAGCTTCCGGTCGGATCTCTCCAAAAAACAACAAGCGGGACCACTTGTTTTCCAACGCGGCAAAGTCCTCATAAAGCCATATACCGCACCCCCCCCCCCTCTCCCAACAACGACCAAATATGATCCCCTCCCCAGCGGAAAAAGTGCGATCCTCTACGGTGCTGTAGCCTATCTGGCCGACGATTTCCCGCCTGTCCTTCGCCAGTTTTCGGACAACGGCACAATTCCCATTAGGAAAAACCAATTCACTGAAGTGTCTGGACTAAACTGACGTACTGGAGACTCCTGATCTTATGCCTTTCCCCGCTGATTCCATAGGGCCAAACCTCGAGAAGCTCGGAGAAGCATACAAACAAACAAAATAAATGAATTACCAAAACATCGGGAACCTTTGTATTCCCTTCCAGATCGACCGTGTGCTGGTTGAAGAGAACCGGAGTGATGTCGATCTTCGTCATCAGCTTCGATCAGAGCGTGTGCGATTAGCCAGCGACGAACTGGTGGGACCATTCGTTCAGGTGAACCCATTGTTACACTGGAAAAGGTCGCTTGAGTGTAAAAAATTTTTACCAGGGGGTTTCAGGAAATGTCAAAGCATCTTGGTGATCTCAAACAGGCCTCCGAAGTCGACAAAGCGCTTCGAAACCTATTTGATTCAAACCAGAAGGCCATCGATATGCTCAGTAAGAGTGAGGTAAATCTCTGACTTGGCAGTTCATAGTATTTCCTTCACTTCGGTCTCAGAATGTGTGCCAGCCTATCTCACCCTTCCTTTTTGTATTCTTTCTTATTTTTCTCTCTTCTCTCTCGTCTCTCTTCCTCTTTCTGTCCCTTCGAGTTTTCTCAATCATACGGGATGAAAAAATGCTTCTGGGCTCTTGCAGTGAAAGAACTGTCTTTTGCATCCTTGATAGGCTGCGTGACCACCTCAGTTCACGCCCCACCACCATGACTCGTGGCTATATGATGTCACTAGCTCGCATGCTTACAGGCAGTTGGCACGATAATTTGGTACACGGCCTAAAATGCTGGCAGGGCACTATATAGTGGAAAATGGCGAAAAAACGAAGTGAAACGGTCAAAAACCTGCGAAGAAAAGCCTTCGTTCTCAATGACTCAAAAAGCAATTTTGGACGAGTTTCCGTAGGCATCTTGCCAATAACCGCTACGGTAGATACGGCTGCACGTATGTACTCATATATCCATGCAGCACCGCAGCCGCTTCATACCACCCTTCGCTTCATATTTTACTTAGGAAATGAAGCAAAACCAGCATCAGAAGTTTTTTTTTAGAAAACTAGCGTCGAGGGGGGAGGAGTAGGGGACGATGTCATCAATCAGCCAGCCAAAATCAATTGCTATGGATAGTATCTGTATATACCATTTTCACTTCAAATCGGACACTTTTCAAACCAAATCGGACACTTTTCAAACCAAATCGGACACTTTTCAAATCAAATCGGACACACCCCTTACAATGGGCAGTTGAGAACTAGACCACACTAGGTACTGCTGCAAGCCCCGCCCCAACACCTGCCCACTTCTTAGCGCGGCCATGG